ACCGTGGTTCAATCCCCCACCACCACATGTCAGCCAGCCCCACCCCCTGGTGGGCTGAGCTGGCCACACACACACACACACACACACACACACAAATAAATAAATAAATTTTTTTTAAAAAAAGATAACAAAGGAAGGTATCACAGGAATAGATGGCTTGTCACGCCAGCCTGGCCAAAGTGGACCTGCTCCCGACTCGATAAAGCACCCACGGGCTGAAGGACTGTCTCCAGGAGACCGCCCCACACTACAGATGGCCTATTCCTACCTGCTGTCTTTGCTTTACACCACACCAAGGGGCACCCGCTCTGGCCGGTTCCACCCCACTTCCCCAGCTTGTCAGGAGGTTCTCCGGCCAAATAATTCTGGAATAGGCAGCCTTCCTGAGTCTTAGAAAACTAACAACACACAGGTTTTTTTCACATCTCTGAGAAGCCATGATGGAACCGACCTGTGAGGCAGGTGCTGACTGCCAGATTTATCCGAGCGCAGGAGAGATGCACTTCCCTTGCATTTCTGATTTCACCTGACCAGAGCTTACCTTGGGCACTTAGGTCTGCTGTCCTCTGCCCCACAAGTAAGGTGTCACAAACTATGAATCGGCCTTCCGGACCTTGTGGTGAACTGATCCCAGCCCATCAGCACAGGCTGCAAACAGTCAGGCTTTGAAGAACTGACACTTCCTGTACCTGAGAAGACAGGGTGTGGCCCTGGGCTCCTCACACGTTCCCATTAATTAGGTGTTGACCAAGGACCAGGCACTGCACTGACCACTGTTGAAGTATATCCCAGGTAATCTCCAAAGCAAGGTAGACAAACACGGGGTGAAGCCATCTGCCTCACTAGAGAAAGGAAGGGGTCGGCACTGTCACAAAGAGACTGGGCCACCACTGAGAGAACCAGGAAGGACTCCAAACGCTGAGCCCTCTGCCTGGAGCAAGGACAAGAAAGTACACATGAAGGTCACTAGAAACAGGTGGAAGCCAGGTGTGGCGGTGCACACCTGTAATCCCAGCTATTGGGAGGCTGAGGTAAGAGGATCACAAGTTCTAGCTCAGCCTGGGAAACTTAGCCAATTAGCAAAAGCCCGCCTCAAATGAAACATGTTTTAAAGGCAAGGGATGTAGCTCAATGCTAAACGCCCTAGGTTCAATCCCTGGTACTTCAAAAAAGAAAAGAAATGCAAGAACAAAAAGAAGAGTGGAGGCAGCCCAGGCTCTACTAAGCTAAGCCACCTCTGGCTTCAGCCTAATTGTCCCCTCTGTCCCCTCTGTCCAGAAGGACCTCTACTCTCCCTCAGTGATCTTTTCCTCCCCCAGGGAGTGTCCACTTAGGAAACTTCTAGAAGCCTCCCCTGCCCTCAGGCCTGAGGTATACGACCTTTTCTGCACTCCTGCAGCCCCATGCAACCATTTACACACATCCCCAACTTCTGCCTCGTGCCTACCTGTCTACACTGTGCCACCTGCCACAGGGAGGGGAGGGGGTGCTCAGTAAACATGGAACAAACTAAGATAAAAATCAGGCAAATCAAAAACAAGAGCAGATCCTTCTAAAGGACAGGCTCCCTTGTCACTGAACTTGGTGACCACTGAACAACGCGGCGAAGGTCATCATCTACTGTTTTCAGCATGATGACAGAAGACTGGCTCTGAGAGTGGAAGGTGTGGACCCAGGTCCCAGGCCCTTCAGTAACTGCCTGGCTGACCCACGGCAAGTCTCTGCTAGCCTCTCCTATCTGTACAAAAGAGATGTCAAAAGCCTTCTGAGGGGACTGAGGAAGGAAGGTCATATATGAATGTTGGCTCTGCAAGCTGTTCAGCATGGGACAGTGCAAACGATCAGCTGTTAGGATCACAGGGAGACAAAGTAGAAACAGTAGAGGTCTCACTGCATAAAAGGAACACTTGTGTCTTTAGAAGACAGAAAGGAGCCCAGGGTGGGCCTGGGGAAAGGATCCGAAGTAAAATACAACCAAGTCTATGGCAAATGTACACCTGCTCATTTATAACCCATCGGAGTAGAATAGCCACTGATGATATTAATTTTCTCTGGTACTTTAGACGTTATGTTTCAGCTTTCCTTCTCAAACATGAAGCCTGTCAAGAGGAAGACAGGCCTGGAGTATTTCTATCAATAAGCACTGCCCCAAAGGAGTACAGGCCAAGCTTCTAGAAGCTGCTGAGACTCCAGGTTTGGGGAGATAACTGCTTCAATTCAAATACATTTTCAATTTGCTTACAATGTTAATTCCAGCGCATTATAACATAAGACCCCCCATAAATCGTTAAGTACCAACCATAACTCTATTAATGGTTCTACTTTTACTGAGCACAAAACCATCTTTGAAATTTTATCATTATAAACTTTAGCTATGGCCTCTTTTTAGCTTAGCATAATGAACAATGTACAAAGTGATACAAAGTTCCATTTGGCAGACTACCATAGCAAGCTCAGCTCAATAGTAAAATGGTACAGAAGTGGGCCTACCTTGTACAGGGACTACACAGATACAAATGCACTTTGCAGCTGGTGACACAGCTCAGTGGTTTTTATTTATTCTGAGGTTCTCAGCATTGAACGCAGGGCCTTTGCACTAAGCCACGCCCCCAGTCCTTTTTTTGTTTTTGGAGAACAGGTTTTGCTAACTTGCCCAGGCTAGGCTCACACCTGCAATCCTCCTGCCTCAGTCTCCCAGAGAGCTGGGATAACAGGCGGGGACCTCAGCACCCAGTGATAAAGCTCTTGCCTACACTCCCATCGCCAATAACACAATCCTATGGCTAAACAACCTTAAGGAATACATCATAGAAGGAGACTTACTCTTCACTGATGCCACGTAAAACACAACAATGGCCCCTGTCATTTCGCCATCGATAACCCTAGCTGCACGTCTACATGAGCACATTTTGCTGAAGGGCAAAAGTTACACTTTCCCACTTCAATGCCTTCTGGCATCATGACTTGTATGCATGCCATCTATCAACAGCAGAAGCCTTGCTTATATCTCCAAAAACAGGCAGTCCCGTATCTCGGAGGTAAACATTTCATCAGATTCTCAAAACAGTTATAATCAGAAAGACACTTCAAGTTATGCAGGAACTTCAACTAAAGAAATGGACTGTTAAGGCCGAGCATGGTGGCACATGCCTGTAAACCCAGCACTTGGGAGGTTGAGGCAGGATTGTTGTGAGTTCAAGACCAGCCTTGGGGGGCCCGGGAGATGCCTCAGGAGAATAAGCGCTTGCCTGGCAAGCGCAAGGGCCTGAGTTCAATCCCCGGTCCCACCAAAAAAAAAAAAAAAAAAACCAGCCTTGGCTACAAAGTGAGCTCAAGGCCAACCTGAACTGCAGTGAGACCCTGTCTCAAAAATAAACAAGCGGTTTGGTGAGATGGCTCGGTGGTCTAGAGCACCTACTTAGAACAAGCTTAACTAAAGCAAAGGGACCGCGGTTCAATCCCCCAGCACCACATGCCAGCCAGCCCCGCCCCCTGGTGGGCTGAGCTGGACACACACACACACACACACACACACACACAAATAAAAAATAAATAAATAAATAAATAAACAAGCAACAAAAACATACTCTAGGGGAAAAAATGCTATAGGGTGATGAAATAGTATTAGTCAAACACGAAAAAATACTGAAGACAAATGGCAAATACACGATATTCAACATACTAATCTCCATTTTTGCTCGTTTAACAAATTTCCCTGATAAAAAGTCAGAATATTCTCTCCACCTATGCTTCACTTTATGTCATAATCTCAACCTAGAAACCACCAAAATACCACAAAAGGTACTTCACCCCTCCAAGGGTACAAACCAGCCAGGCATGGGGGCATGCACCTGTAACAGCAGCCCATCAGGAGGCTGAGGGAGAAGGATCTCAATTTCAAAACAACCCCCACCCCCCAGGAATTCATCTCCTATGCTAGAGGGAGCCCCTCGTCCAGGGGCAGCACCAGCACACTCTTCCTCCGGCTGGCATTCCCTTTGAAACACCAAAAGCCAAAGCGACAATTACATTTGTTCATATTCCTAAGTCACTGACCCCGAGGTGGACTCGAATACAACATCTGAGGAATTTAATTAAATGAACCAACATGATATGAATTCTTTAAGCGCCTGAGTAAAAGCTTGTTAATAAAGTCCCATAATCAGCCACAATATCAAAGATAATAAAGTCCATTTAATATTCAACTTCAAACAACATGAAAATAAACTCTAAGAGATTATCCAAACCAGGTACTATGACACAGTCCTGTAATCTCAGCTAGGCAGAGGCTGAGGCAGGAGCATTTCAAATTTGAGGCCAGCCTGGAAAAATTAAGGAAACTCTATCTCAAAATAAGAAAGTCTGGGGAATGTAGGTCCTTGGCAGAGCACCTCTGGGATCAATGTGTGATACCAAAAACAAAACACAAATGGGAGAGACACAGACAGACAGACAGATTATCTGAATATACATGTCTGTCACAACTGGCAGAAATACAACTGGAAAACTTTGATCCCAGTTTTAGCTTTTAACAAAAAAGATTCCAAGGGGCTGGGGAGATGGCTCAGTAGGATAAGCGCTTGACTGGCAAACGCAAGGATCTGAGTTCAATCCCCGGTTCCGCAAAAAAAAAAAAAAAAAAAATTCCAATTAATGAAAAACAAAATGATCCCTGGGACTCTGGGTGCAAACTGCCAGAAGTAAGCTGGATGTGGGTCCGCACACCTGTCATCCCAGCTGAGGAGGTTCACTGGCAGTTCAAGGCCAGCTTGGGCTACACAGGGAGACCTTGTCTGAAAAACAACAGCAACAACAAAAACACAACAATTAATGCTGCAGGCAATCACACAACCAAAAACAACAGAGGGGGCTGGGGAGATGGCTCAGGAGAATAAGTGCTTGCCTGGCAAGCACAAGGGCCTGAGCTTAATCCCCAGTTCCAGCACAAAAAAAAAAAAAAGGAGGAAAACACCATTTTAATAAAAACAAATAACACTTACCAGCACTTTGTTTTCAACTCTATCTCCCTTAACTTCCAGCTTTACTTTCTTCTTCACTGCAATCTTTATCTTCCTGCCAATAACATCCTTTATGCTTTCTGGAAAAAAAAAAAAAGGAAAGAGTTTCATCATGTTTTGATTAAAAAGAGAAAAAGCGGGGCTGGGGAAATAGCTCAGGTGAATAAGCACTTGCCTGGCAAGCACAAGGGCCTGAGTTCAATCCCTGGCTCTGCACAAAAAAAAAGAAAACGAGAAAAAGCATTAAGAAGGGTTTCTCTTTAATTAAGGGAAATTTCTTTCATTGTTTATCTGCTTTTATTTGCTTGCTTTAACAAGCTGATAGTTCCCAGCCATTGGGAATTTAATGAACAACCACTTTGCGCCTTACACTGTGTGCTCAGATACTACAGCAAAGAGAAAAACACCTGACACAACGCCAACAGATGCAAAGCATGGTGTAATCTTGCCTGGAAACACAAGGTAACAAAGTTAAAAAAAAGCAACACAGTCATCAGTGGCATTGAACACTACTGCACACAGGTCATCAGCACAATGGGAATTCATTAATTCTCAGTGACTTCCGGCCTCAGCATTTACAATTGTTCACCACAATGAAACAGAAATACCATATCCTACAAGAGACTTGTCACAAAGGTTAGGGAACACAGCAAAGAACAAGAACTGGGCCCAATGATTCAGCCAGAAGAGGCCGCTCTTAGCCTTCTGCCTTTCCAAAATCAGCACAGCACAGCACACCAACGGGAGACCAAGCCATGCAAAGGAAGACTCAGGAGGAGACTCGTAAGAAAATGTGTGATGGGGACACACCCCCAGGCACCCGCCTGCACACCGGTCTCAGTGCATCCCACCCCAGCTGACCGTCTCCTCCTCTGGCCTCTGGTGCTCCTGCAGACTTTGCTCATCTCCAACTCCTCTCTCTCTCAAGCAGCAACTAGTCATCAATTGTCCACAAACCCACCCTAGAAACAGCCACTGGCCCCTGGGCCAGGACCCTCCACATGAGGAGCCTCAGAATCTGTCTCACCAAGACATAGACCACGGCACCTCCCAGCCACAGTGGGGCCTTCCACCCCCAAGTCTCCTGGTGCCACTCCTGGCCTCTGCCGCGGTCCATCTAGCATGAGCCCAAATCTCTTCGCACACTGTTTAAAGTTACATTTTTCAGGCTAACTTCTCAGTACATGGCGACAGACCCAGTCAGCTCTAACATCTCCACCTCTCATGCCCCCAAGTTTTGTATATATTATTCTTTTTTTTTCAGATGCCTTTGCCCTGTTCTCCTTATTAGTTGAATTCTCCTTCAAAAATACTACTCTTTTTTTTTGTATTTTTAGGGAAGGGTCTACAGGGTGTTCAGGGTCTCACTACTACTAGTTCAGATTCATACTGATCCACCCACTTACAGCCTTCCAAGAGCTGGGATTACAGGCACATGACACCACACCCAGTCTCAATTGCCATTTCAGCACACCCCAGGGGCAGGGCCAGCATGGCAGGCCCAGGGATCGAACTCCCAGCCACTGGGACTGCTTGCAGGCGCTTTAATCTGCTGAGCTATTCGGCCGGCCCTCATTCCCTTCTTCTCTTAAGCCTGCATTGCTCTGTGTTCTGAACAGCAATCATTTTGGTCTATTCATGTGATAGAGGGATCCACACGGAGGAGCACCTCCCACGTGCCACGCTCTCTTTGCATGCTGGACAGAGATGGTCCCCACTCTTCTCACAGTTGATGACCTAGCAGAGGTCACGCAGTGGGGAGGGGTATGTTATAGTCAGAGTTTACAAGGGAAAGATTTAAATACAAGACATAATTTATGGGATTATTATAATATTCACCCAGAGTCAAATGCAAAAAAGTGCAGGAGATCTGTCCATGCACAAAGGCCTGGATCCCACTGTAATGTCCTGCACCAGTCCAGCTAAAGATCCAGAGCCCATGGCAATGTTCCACACAAGTCCAGCTGGAGCTCAGAGCCCATGACAATGTCTCCTGCAAGCCTGTGCCCAGGATCTGCCCAAGGAAGGCCCAAAGGTCACTGATAGATGCTAGAAAGTCTGCATGAACAGGATGAAGGATCTGTGCCAGCGAGCTGAGGGATCTGCGCTGGAGCCAGGAAGTGAGGCTCAAGGTAAGGACCAGTGCTCCTCTAAAAATAATTGCAGCCATCCTCAGCAATACCTCAGATTCGAGCTTCTCTGATGATGAGAACAGCGGGGGTCATATCAGGAAAACCAGTGTGACAAGCTTCTCTAGGAGAATCAACAGAACACCACCTTCCCCTCCAGTTCTGCTTCTGTGGTGTTGGCAGCAATCCTCAGATGGGCCTTCCACACCCAGCGTGATTCGGTCTAGCCGGGTGTTACAAAGTGACCATTAGTTAATCCACCACAGGGTACCACTGAATGAATCCATCATAGGCACAAACTAGAGTACAGAATACAGTCCAGCAAGATGCAGGAGAAAAACAGAATTATTATATTTCCAATGTGTGTTTCAGTTGATGTTTCAAATTGCTAAAGCATTCCACACAATTCAACAACTAATTATGTTTACTGAAGGGTGACAAAATTTACTCATTGGGACTACAAACATCCGTATGAAAGTTGAGTGGGGGCTGGGGAGATGGCTCAGTAGAATAAGCACTTGCCTGGCAAGCGCAAGGGCCTGAGTTCAATCCCCGGTTCCACCAAAACAAAAAAAAAAAAAAGAAAGTTGAGTGGCACTGTATGGGCAAGAGGAAAGGAACGGAGGAAACGGCACTGTCAGCAGAGGCACGGGCATGGACTATGAGGAAGCTCAGCCTGCTCCAGCAGCATCCCGGGGAGGAGCCCACAGCACCCAGAGTTAGCAGTGCAGCCACCACTCCACCAGACCTAGAAACCAGCACTGGCAGCTCCCTTGCCCCCTCAGAGAGGACTGTGGGAAATGGGCTCCTGAACTGGCCTGAGTTCTTGTGCAAGGCTCCTTGGGGCTCATGGAGCCTGCTGGGGACAGGAATTCTAAAGGGCAGCTGTGTTTGGTCACAAGGCCATTCTTGCTGCTGTGTAAATGGGGTCTCGAGAACCACAGGGTGCACCCAGTTCTTTTTAAAATTGTGTGTGCCTGAGACGAGTCACAATTCTACTTGGCCAAGCAATGTGCTTATGCCTACAAAGGGGGAAAAAAAGCAGCATAGTGACTCTTGATTCCAAAACAACAAAATCAGAGTAATGTGGAGAGAAGCTACCGGTGCCCATGGAAACAGAGGCCTGGTTTGGCCCAAACTCCAAAGCAATTTTCCTGCTAAGGCCACTGAACACAGACTCCCTGTGATGCAGAGCTCCACAAGGGTCTGAACCAAGGAAAAGTAAATAAATAAGAGTGTATGTGTGCTCACAAACAGGAAAGAGACTAGGAAGTCATAAACCCAAAGACTAAGTCACTATCTCTGAGTAGTAATAGTGGGTTCCACCCACTTTCTTATTCTCACCATGCAAACTTGTCCTGCAAAGAGCCTGCATTTATTTCATGATCAGAAAGTGACACAGGACACTGTTGAAATGCCTTGGGAGATTTGCACAAAGGAATATTCGGGCTAAAGTTGTCCCAAGGCCACCATTTTTAACTGACCAGAGCAGAATCCTCCTGACACCTGAATTCCGAGAGAAGTGCATGTGCCCTCATCCCTCCTTGCAGCCTAACCAGACCCATACAGGCCTAGAAAACATCCGAACAGACTTACCACAAAATGTCACTTGGGGTCAGGGAAATAGCTCGGTAGAATAAGCACTTCTCTGATAGGCACAAGGGCCTGAGTTCAATCCCCGGTTCCATACCCCCCCAAAAAAAAGTCACTTGTTAGAAGGAATAGACAGGCAACACCTCAAAAATTCCATTTTAAGTTGTGGATCAAACTGCACTTTTAAAATACACCAATGTATCTATTCCTGGGAGCCATCAATTATAAAGCAGGTGCCTTATTTCCACTATCTTCACCCTTACTTCCACATCTAAGGACAGTAATCACCTCAGCTTCTCAGGACCAAGCTCCAAGAGGACACATAAATTAAGACTCTGCATTCTGCCTGAGGAGGCCACCTAGAAGTCTAGGCCTCCATCCTCTCTTCCGGTGTCGGGTTGGAAAAGTCTGGGCCTCCCCAAACAGGATGGGCCACTTTCCAAGACTGATGCTTTATCTCAAGAACCCATTGCACAGGGTTGAGGGAACTGAGACCAGAACAGGACTGCCGGGTGCAGAAAGACGCCCACGCTCTGCGCTCCGCTGAGATTGTTTGAAGCCCCCACTCCCCAACACTTTTAATTAAACAAAAGCAGTGACAGCCATACAAACTAGCAACACCTTCTCATCAAGTTTCACCTTCACAGTTAGCAGGTACTGACAGCGAACACACAAATTCCTCCTGTGTCGTCGCCAAAAGCAACTTAGGGCCACATTCCAAGCACAGGAGGAAGGGGAGCTGAGAACTTCCGCTGGTAGGCACCTTTCCGAGGACCAGGTGTGCGCGGGCCGAGAACCGCCCGGCGGGAATATGGGTCACTGGGACTCAGAACTCTACAGGGCACATTCACAGCACAATAGGATAGACAGACACACAAGCTTAAACCTGGGTTTTTAGAAGTCGGCTCCAACCTATTTTAACCCTCTGGATAATTAAGTTAAACCCGAAGATTTACAAACTAGCTCCCTGTCCACTCCCAAGGAGCTAAACCCCAAGGGCCTCAGACAATGGGTCACCTTGCACAGGTGTCACACGCCAGTTCCCTAAGCGGTAGGGGTCGGTAGGTTAATCATTATTAAAATAAGGCTTTTATCATTAACCCCCAGTTTCCCGGTCGGAGTGTGCATCGGTCCGGTAACCCCTTCGCTCCCAGCTCAGGCACCAAGCCACGCCTTGCCAGGCAGTCAGCGTCCCGGACGGGCGCCCCAGCCCCCAGTGAGCGCCCGAGACCCGCATCTCCGCGGGGCGCTCCCGCGTGAGCCCGCCGCGGGCCGCGGGCCCAGGACGACCTCCCGGGCTGTCCCGCTGGCCTCTAGAGTTTGGGGAAGCGGCGAGAGCTGGAAAGGGTCCCCCTGGCTTTCAGAACTCCCGGGACCCAGGCGGCCCGCGTCCAATCTGCGCCACCCCGGGCCCGCGGGGGCTCCCCGCGCCGCCCCTCGCGCGACTCGGCCCTGCGGGCATTGGATGCGCGCGAACTTCCCGGTGCCCCCTTCAGCTACAGGGGCGCGGAGACCCAGAGACCCGCAGCGGGAGGGGAGGAACGCGAACCGCGGCGCCAGGCTCACCTAGAAGCTCCCTGGGGACGTCGGCGCTCTCCTCGGTCATGGTGCCCCTCGGTGCGGGGTGTCACAGGGCCAACTCTGATTTCCGGCTCCTGCCTTCCCCTAGCCCCTTGCTAAGGAGTGAGCCAAAAGGGGGGGTAGAGATACGGTGCTGCCGCGCCCCCGCCGCGCCAAAAAAAAAAAAAAAAGAGTTGTTAAGACGAGGTGGGTTTGCGGCTGCTGCTGCTACATGTCGCCTCGCCCGGCTCCCGGCGACAGCGCGGGCGCGTGAGTCCTCAGTCGCCGCGCCGGCTGCACCCCCTGCGCGCCGCACCTACGGCCTAGGTGGAGGCGGAAGGCGCGGGAGGCGGGGAGGCGGGCCCGGCGGGGACGCGGGCCTGCCCTGCTCCTTCCCCTCCTCCTCCAGCTCCTCCTCCTCCTCCAGCTCCTCCTCCTGCTCGGCCCCTGCTTCTCCAGCGTCTCCGTCTCACCTCGCGAGAGCCGACCCAGCCCTGGCTTCTCGGTACCCGCGGGTCCTCACCCGCAGGCGCAGGTCCCTGGCCTGGGGCGCACGCGGGGACGCGCAGTGCGGGGCGGCGGCGGGCGCCCTCCGTGAGCCTCCGCCTGCCAAGCCGCAGGAGCCCTGCGCCGGAGTGCGCCCGAGAGCCACCTGCTGGCCGCCGGGGAGCAGAGCCGGGAAGGGGTCCTGACTCCCGGCCCGCCCTCGGGATTCAGCCGCGGGACGCAGCCCCAACTGCCTGGGACGCTGTTTCTCCCTGGGACCCTTTTACAAAGCGCCGTAATTTTCCGGCCTCCCAAGATGTGGAGTCATCGCATCAGTTATTAATACTCCGTTTCTGGCGCGCAACAGCAAGACGAAGCCTGTAAACACGGACCATCTGGTGAGGGGACGCTCGCGTGTGCCCAATCGGGATCTCCGGACGCAAGGACCGAGTTTGGACTCGCGGAGGAACCTCCCACCCTCGGGGCACCCGGGAACTCTGTCCCTTCACGAACGCCAGGAGCTTGAAGCTAGCCGTATCCTATCTGGCTCGGCTCCCTCCAACTTCCCTGAGCTCCACCCCCAGGGACGACTTCAGGGCCAATAAGTGCTTGTCTGTGTGGCCCCGCAGCAGGGAATGACCCTGGCTGTTGAATCGGGTTCAGTTTTTAAAGAACAAAAAACGGAAAGAACATAGGGAACCCCACGCGCGTAGCTGTCCAGCTTTTGTTTGTATTTGGTTGGGGGGGGTGTTTGGTTTTTTGTTGTGTTGGCTTTTTGAGGCAAGGTCTCCCAATGCTCTTCAGGCTAGCCTTGAACTCTAAAGCCACCCTTCTGCCTCAGCCTCCTGAGTGTTGGGATTACAGGCGAAGACCACCAGTAATGGCTTGGCTGGCCAGTTTTAAACGCTGCTGTTGACCTGAACTTTCCTGAGAGGAATCTTCAGCCTCTGAGCTGGGCATTAGCTTTGGGGATTCACTAACCAGGCCGTTCCAGCCCCTGAATTCCCCCACCCCTACTCCAAGTCTGCTAGCTATTGGCTTGCAGCCTCCTCCGACGGTTATCGGTTTCCTACCGGTGTTCACAAAGTGGCCAGGGTTTATCAGCTCACTGGGAACCCTAAAGCAGCAGATTACCTGAAACACTTTTCTGAACCCAAGCCTAGGGTGCTTCTTTTTCATTGCCTGGGTATGTATCTAGCTTTACTATTCAACTCTTGAATTTTTCCTTGGTTTGGGTTTTGAGAACAAAATGAAGGCGGAGAGAGAGAGAGAGAGAGAGAGAGAGAGAGAGAGAGAGAGAGAGAGAGAGAGAGACAGGAAGAGAGACAAAGACAGAGACCCTGCTGTAGACAAGTGCTCTACCTCTGATCTCCTCCCACTGCCTTAAATAGCTTTAGGTAAAGATAATCAACATTTGTTAACTTACTTTTGAGCTTTGGATCTCAAGTTCCTAACCATTTGTTTCAAAAACTGGCAATTTCTTTGTTACATATTTCCTCCATACATGAAATATCTTTCTTTTTCCTTCTGCAATAAATGGGAATTAACACCCCCAAAGTGTCTTCAAATGTATGTGTTTAAGCAGACTTTTCTGGCACAAACCACTGAGCTTTCAAAAAAACACAGAAGGTTCCAAACCATGTGGTAACTTGTGAAAATGAGAACAAAAGATTTTCCCCCTTCTGGCCTGAAGTTGCGGAAAGGATAAAGGGAAGGCTGTGTGGCAGCCCTGTAATTCAGGATTCTTGGTTTCTGCTGAAGGAGCTGAGGACTCAGTAAAAGAATCCTTTTCACTACAGCAAGGTCCTGATTGGCTCCTGCAGCTCTGAAGAGGTGGCAAGCTATGTGGGCCTCCTTCACAGCCTCCACACATGGTCACCTGCTTGTGGAAATGATAACCACTTACGTCTTTGGTGCAGAATCCATCGACGCTTGGAACATCACATAGACAGCATGAAGCGGCCCTGTGCTGAGCTCCAAGGCCCAGCAGCAGCAGGCACCCCCAGCATTGCACAGCCGCGGTGCCCACTTAGAATGCAGATTACACTGGGCAGAGTGCACCCCTTGAGAAAATCTGCCAGGCCATAGTTCCTCTTGCTGCAGAAACAAATCTATACTGTACCTGGCCCCTGCTTCCAGACTTTGAAATTCAGCTCTTCTCTGACAACCTTGAAAGAGTGGCTAAACCACTGCATGAAACAGTTGCCATGTAATCCTTTGAGAACTGCACCTGTATCTCAGACATTTACAGATGACTGTCTGAGCAAGACAACTGGAATTGGTCATCTGAAACTATGAACTGGAAAATAGAACTTTTTCCAGGGAGTCCCTACTGCAGTGAACTTTAAAAATGATAAATACAGTGACATGCATTTAACATCTACCTGCCACAAAGGTTTTTTTCAAACTTCAAATTAATGGCCAGACATTTGGATCTATGTAGTATATTTTATAATTCATTATGGTGAGAAAATACTCTCTAGAATAAAAGCAAGTTACTGAAAATACCTAACATTGATATAATGGCCAAAGGTACTACCACAGCACACATCCTACAATGATTAAGCCTGTAGAGACAAAGATAGCAATAAACTAACAAGCTCATGGACTCACTGAGATCAGTTTCTGATCCTGCCTAATTCATGGAGGATTGGTTTTAAAATGAGAAAGTTGGGCCAGGGAGATAGCAGCATAAGTGCCTGGCTGGCAAACGTAAGGTCCTGAGTTCAATCCCTGGTGCCAAAAAAAGGGGGGGGGGAGTTTTCAGAAATATGACATTGATGTCATGTCTGGAAAGCCTGGACACTATGGCTCACCACACTCTGAAGCCACTGCTCTGCTGAGCACAACTCCCGAGATCCTAACCCACCTGGTAATGAACTAAAGAAGTGGTTTAAAATAAAAGAGGACAATTTATTTGAAGATGGAGAATGAGGAGGAGAGAGATGCAGACAGCAGGTGCTCCGCAGGTGCAGGGAGATTTGAAACTTGAATGGCTCTTAGATCCGGGCTGCAGTTCCTTTTATTGAGAACCTTGTCCCACACGGGCTTCTGGGATCTGATTGGTTCCCTGGCCTGCCTTTCAACCCAATTTAAGATTTCTTCTAGGGGCTGGGGAGATGGCTCAGTGGAATAAGCGCTTCCTTGGCAAGCACAAGGGCATGAGTTCAATCCTCAGTTCCGGAAAAAAAAAAAAAAAAATTTCTTCTGACCAGGTGATCTTGTTGTCTCTGACCTCTTAGAAGGTAGGATTATGGTTTGGGACCTTAAGGACAATTAGTTTAGGTTTAAGGATTAGATAGGGACTTTGCTGTTTTTATGTAAATCAAGCTATCTGGGAACTTCCAGTCCTGAGGGTTTGGGTTTTTTTTTTTTTTTGGGGGGGGGGGAGTGGGGGAGAATGACAGGAATGGAACTCAGGACATGTGCTTGCCAGGAAGTGCCAGGCAGGCACTAGTGCCACTGAGCTATATTGCTGGCCCCTTACCCTTGAGTTCTTCGCCTTTGTCTTCCTAATTGCTTTAGTTCAGTGGCCTTTGTCTTTGTAATTCTTCAGAGTCCAGCTTTCTTTGCCCTTCTAATTGCTAGAGTCTGGCTGCCAAGGTCAAAACTGCCTTATTAATTTTTAATAAAGCTCACGGAGGCCCTTCCCATCCTATCTTCCTACCTACAGTGGCTCTGTCTACACATTCTTTCCTCTGAGACAACCTTCCAACTGCTATTGGGGAAAAGGGTGGTGACTCATCTGACCTCTTTGTGCTAACTGGGATTGTAGTTGGGGAGCAGCAGATGGGTATCTTTAGCAGAGAGGGCCATCTAATGGACCTCAGCAGAAGTCTGCTACCTTTACAAGGGGTTTTGTTGTTTGACCACTTGGTTTGGCAGCCTCTAGGTAAGAAAAAAGCAAGCTTTACCAAGAGATTAGTGCACATCACCAAAACATGAGCAATAGAATGGAGAGAGAGGTTGAAAAAGTAGCCAGTCAGACACAGTTTTCAAAGGACTGGAATAGCAATTTTAACCAGCTTGGCCTTAGAACATCAGCAGGGGTCAGTGAGGAGAGTCCCCCTTTATATGTCTGGTCTATATTATTATCTTACTATATTCTCTTGTGAGGTATGCAAGACCAAGTTAAGGTGAGACCTTTGTTAATCATTTACGTCCTGATATATCAATGTCAGTCAAGTCTCCTCAGCCATTCCTTCTGGAACCTTTTAGTTTAGTTCCTTCTGTCAGATGTGTGGTTTACTAGGATGGGCACAGTTTGTGGTAGACCACATGGCACCCTTTGGAAGCATGGGAATATTTTTCACTTTAGTGACCCTTCTAGCATGCACACTGGTTAACTCCTGGCTTTTGGGGTCCAACAATCCCTTGCTCAGAAGGTTGGGTGACTCAAAGTTGCAGGATCCTGTAGACAGGGCCCCACATGTCCTGGGTCTTTGTTGACCTTAGAAGACCAGGGCCAAAATATTGGCCATTCTCTTAGCCCATGACCTTTTGTTTTGGTCTCCCAAATCTCAGTTGTTGAACTGTCAGTAAGAGAAGATTGGTTACATCAATGGGATATAGTAGGAGCAGTTAATTTTGTGGTTTCATCTAGATATCCAACATACAATACTTTTGCTTCTCAAGAGGTGTCCTTAATGATATGAGGAGACAAGGGGCAATGACCTCTGGCTACTTCCAGCTAGAAGTG